AAAAAAAAAAAGGGGGGGGGTGAAAAGGGGAAGAGTACCTGTTTGTAGAGCCAGCCACGTCTGACAACTGGTGCATTAGGATTTCTCTTTATTGAGTTTGATCTCTTTCCGAAATTATGAACCTTCTTTGAAGATCGTGATGTCTAAATTGAATTGAACAGGTTAAAGAAAACATGACATCAATATCTGTTGAAAAATCATAGCACATTTTCTTTTCTTTAAGATCTTTTTCTTCTACATGTTCCTCTGGGGGATTGCAGAATACAAACTGTATTTCTTTTTTAGGTAAATAATTATTACGATGGTTCTGCTGCCTTCAGCATTTCTTTCTTTTTCCTCTGCAGAAAATTTAAAAGACAAATCCCAAGACAATTACTTAAAACCTTTTTTTAACAAGGAAAAACAACCAAATACATATCTGACCTTCTTATAAGGTAGGTAGAAAGTCTACCAAGCTGTAGAAAGAGAAGTAAAATTAACAGAACTATTATTAATTATGAAAAATTACATCACTTGGGCAAGAACATTCTACTCTTTCCAGCTTCCAACACCGGCTTAATACATGAAAACTTGTTCAGATTTCAACAAGATATAACTCTCCCTTTCCTAGCATATACTAACTTTTTTTTATTCTTTCTTCCCCCTCAAGAACCCTTCGCTTTATGATCTCTTGGCTGGTTTGAATATTCATTATTTTACCTGCTTACACTAAGGCCTACTTTAAATCTTTTGCCTTGAAAATCCAGCGCTTATATCTGCTGCTGCTTATACCTTTGACAACCTTACAGCTATGCAATGATCACAGATGATTAAGAGAAGTAGGACAAATAACCCATTTTAGATTTTATCCTACTTGAGTAACCAAAAGAAATTGGAAAAGGCATAAAGAAATGAGCAGCGCTTTACCAATTCACACTTCATTCTTTTCAGCCTACATTTAGAAAGTTTGTTCTGCAACCAAATAAACTGAACATTTACTTGTGTTTTAAATTCTGTAAGAATGAGTGCCTCAGAGACCATGTGATGTGATGCAGCAAAGTACGCCACTGTACAAAAGATGTAAAGTTCAAATAAGTTTTTTAAGCTGTGTTCATGGCTCTGCTCCAAATCTGCCATTTGAATTTAGACAATATAATCCTGTGCTTCAGCATCCCCATCTCTACCACGGAGACTAATCATAAGGTTATGCAAAGTTCCTAAAGGAGGAAGGCTAAACAAACACTCGTTTTCTGTTGCAAATTAGGGTATGGGGTTTCTCTATGGAAATTCTCTCAACACGCGTCACAGAGCTGAGCTGGGTTTTATACATGCTTCAGAGAGAATTCCACAGTAGGTTAACAATCATAAACTGAAAACTGCAATTTAAAATGACGTGTGTCAACAACACCATTAACTGAAGAATACAACATAGCTTGGCCAAAAAAGAATAACATTACAAAAACTATGTGTGTTTGTCATAAGTCTACAACACAACAAAACAAGGTCGTTTTGTATTTCTTTTTTGAAAGAATCAGGAGGAAATAAAAAAAACATTGAGTGCTTTTAATTTCCCTTGGAGATACAGAAATTTGACTCAACTCTGTTTGGAAAGCAAGATACAGCAAGCAATTGAAAACCTAACTAAAAATAAAAGCAAAAATTTTTCACATTTTAATCTGAAAAATTCTACCAGTGCAAAATGGACAAAGGTTTGTAAGAAGTGAAGAGAATTATGACATCCAGCTGTAAAAAAGGAATATACAGAGAACCTATAACAATCCAGAGCACATTATCAAGTTAACTACATCAATCTCAGTTAACCTGTATGGCTACTATATTGGCATATCACACGAGAGCTGTGCCTTGATTTTGATCAGAAATAATTTATAACACTCATACCTGCTCTAATATTAGGTATTAAATGTTCAAAAGCTCAAGAGTGTTCCAGACTTCCTATGCTTGTAAAATGGCTAATGCATTAAGGGTGCTTCTGAAAACACAACCAACCACAACCACAAGTACTACTAATGTCAAGTCTACTAACAAATTCAGACAAATTAGACAGACCTACCTATCTCTTAGGCAGGTCTGATAACAAACCCTATTGACTCCAATTTCACTGAACTCACAGCAAAGTTTTAATGGGTTACACCTTACCAACTGTGAATACAAACTTCCATTAATTAAACAGAGCATCACTAGTGCTTTCTAATTTTAGTTAATACAGAAAACACTGTAGATGACTCGTGATTATTTTACCACACTGCATAAAGAGAATAACTGTTCACAACAAGTTCTGAGCTGCGAGACAGTAAGTATTTTAGGATATCGAAATATTGTAGGTGTATATATAAACTAATGAGTTCTCAAACTTTTTAGATCACCTCCTCCTCTTGTTATATCTGGGATACCTGGCCATCCCATGTTCTCTCACACATGTATCTAATATATCTCAAATTGGGGAAACAGGAAGAAAGGGAAAAAATGAAAATTGAAGGGTTCAAATACTTTTTACCCCACAGCTCTAAAAAATATAGGACATATTGCACAGCTCCAGCTTCTGGAGAAGGCAAAGAGAAAAGGAGGATAGTGAATGAAGGGTCCAACTACTAACCGCTTGGCGGAAGGTGTAGAAGGTAACAGAGCTAGCAAACTTAATAGTCACATCTGGTACCATCTGACCCGTTCTAAGGAATGGTCCCAGCAACTGTGATGCCTCCGAAACCAGAACCTACAGGACCCTGTGCAGTTCCAGTACTGAGAAAGAAGCCAGGAAGTCCAGCCATTGATATTTACTCTTTCCCAAACCTGAAGAAAACAAACACCAGCAGGGTTTTGAACTCTGGGCAACAGGTCAGTCAGTAGCTGGGGCTGCACACTTCATCACTCTGAAAGCTGCTCTTCTCTCTGCTTAGCTGGTAGAGGACACAGAATTTATGTGAGGCTTCTTCCCCAGTTTCAGAACTATCACAAAAGTAATTAATTAACACCAAACTTATAGCATCTATATTTGAAAAACATGGATTGAGAACCTTGCTGATAAGGAAATTTTCTGCATGTGAACTCAAAGAATGGAAATTAAATCTTTGTTACTTTCAACTTCTGTTTAAAAATATGTTTCCAGTCTTCAAGGCTTATATTATCTCCCAAACCACAAACCAACATGATGCTGCCTTCTGGATTTTGTAGGCAATTTCAGCGCCTTCCAATGTTGCAGTTTTCCATGAGCTGACTGGGTTTCTGCCTCAGCATTTTAGCTTGGACCAGGAGGTTGCTCTTGAAGCAAATCTCCCAGTCATTCACTCTTACTGTGCTTTGGTTTGCATAGTAGAGCAAACTGGATTTATTTTAGGTGAGACTAAAATGTAAGATGCACAAGGAGCACTACTGGACTAGTCTGAATATAAACCATGAAAACAGAGTAGAGATGTTCGGTCCTGAGCACCAATACCACCCTTCACATTGCTCCTGTTTACTATGCTGTTTGCTAATGTATCTCATGACTATTACTCCAAAATTTCTGGCTAACCTGAACCCTGAGAAGACTTGTATGGCTATACCAAAACTAGCCATTTAAACAAACTGATGAATATTTATAAACAATTTGATACATCCTAGCTGTAATGGAGACACGAGGAGCTCTGCAGCAACTGTCCTGGGCTATCACTCCATTCCACTTACTGCGAGAAAAGTGTTAGCATTATTCTGCTGATAACCAGGACAGCAATGCAGAGCAGGGGAGATGAACTGTGGAGAGCGACTGGTAACATGACTGACTTTACACACGAAAAAGCTGATTCCCTGAATGCATTTCAGGACATATTTGTCTAGGTAATGATTTTAACAGCGGGGGAAAAAAATAAAATAAAAAGGAAGACAACTGCAAAACCAACTTCTTAATTTTAAAAAGAGGGGTGGAAATATATACCTCTGTAGCTATCTCAAGCCTATGTAGATTTTTTTCACAGTCAGAGGTCTGTGCTAGTAGCTTCAAGTTCAGAAATACACTTCAAGCTAATAGGGAAGAAGCAGCACTTAACAGAGCTGTAGTGTGTTATTTGGCCAGCATCACGTATATAGTGGGAAAGGAGGATTAAAATAAGACTTTTACTGAAGAGAGAGTGATATTTGCCTCACCTCATATTAGCCCCTAGACAGCAGCAGCATTAGACTCCAGTGAGTCTTTCTGCCACCAAATAGAAACTTGGAGAAGTTCCATATCTATTTGGGATCAATAAACATTAATGAAAGGGAGAACTTATTTCTATACCACTCATCTGTCTGAAACTTTAGTTGTACCACAAACTTTTCTTCCATTCCTCATTACCTTCCAATATTAGGTGTGTTCATGAATTCTCTCTGAAAACAGAAACACCTAAAAAATAGGTGTGGCAACCACATGAAGCATTCTTCTGCTCTGTAATATACTTTCCTCACCAATATTTTACTCCTCTTTTAATATGCTGCAATACACAGAGCCTCTACATATTATACTCAAAGGTTGATAAGACAGCTAAGAATTTCGGGTTCTACTGTTGGGAGATGTCAACAATAAAAACATTGAAGAAAATTAGTTGTTGTATCCAGGTACAACCAGTGGGCGATTTCTATGTAGTTATCTTTAAAAAGGATTCAACTCATTAGCCTTAAGTAACCACCAGAAAATGCTGATTAATATTAGCTGTGGTTCTACTTTGCAAGCATTCATCTCCTGAAAACAAAACTTTTAAAATGGTGTTGCAGTAATTCAGACAAATTTACATTTGAAAACTGATGTACAGTAATTGCATATACACAGTAATCATATTAATATTTTAAGTGCATTTAAATAACTAGAACAGACAGGATGAAGGAAAAGTAGAACAAAAGTCTATTTTTTCAAAATATAGTAATTTTCACAGGAAGCTACACTCAATGAAAGTAAAGAAATTACAATAACTGGGCCATAGCAATCTCAATTTCCTTCCAGAACACTATGAAACAAACACGCTAAAGGGCATTTTAAACTTCTCTCTTGAAAGAGGAGTGTGAAAAATATGTTTGTAAAACACGTGCTCCTAAATTGTAATTCATTTCCTACGTTTAATCTGGGAGCGCTTCCTAGCTAGTTCTGTTGTAACTCATTTTCTGTGTAACTATTGCAATCTATGTCACTATTACAGCTCTAACAATAAGTTAACCTTGGGTTTTTTGCTTGCTTGGTTGTTTTAGGGCTTAGCTGGTTTTGGGTTTGTTTTCTGTTGTTGGGTTTTTTGTTTTAAATTGGCTTTCCTGCATGGACTTAAACATGATCATATGAAAGTTGAAATTATGGATTTTGTTATTGTTTATAATTCATCTGTGACTATTTTCCCCCCCCAGCAACAGGGATAGATTAAGACACTTTTCTCATTAAATAATAGTTTTCTAATGTAGGTCAAGGATTCTGCCTGTCTAATGAGACATTTAAAACAACAACAAAAGGTTTCCAAAATGCACTTAAAGAAACCTTACAATGTTTATTACCACATGGAAAATAATTTATTTCAATCCAAATTTCTGAAATTAAGGAATTTCCTCAGTTATTTCAAAGTTTATTTTTCTCTTGCAGGCTGGATTAATCTGCTGAAAAGCACTTCTCAGTGTTAAAGTTTTCAATGACTAGCAAAAGTATGGGGCTTTTTTCCTTGTTTAAATGTTAACTGCTGGGTAGAAAAGATTACAGGGCTGTCATCACTGATCAAACTTGTTACCTTGGTGTCCTAGCAAACTTATGGAAATTCTTAACTTTGTAGCAAATGCCCTTTCCTTTTATGAAAGCTGTCCAAAAACGGAAAAAATGCACGCAACAGCCTCATCCGATTTATCCAATAAACTTAAAGTAGATATAATTGAATCCATCACCTCGATAAACATCTGGGCATTTACCTTAACCTTCTGAGAAGCTGGGTGAATGGAGAAAGTGGGACACAAATTCAGGTGGCCTAGGAACCTCCAGGACTTTTCCCAGGAATTTTTTCCTAGGAAACCAGGACTTCTACTTCTGGTCCAATGACAGCAAATGATGTCATCTGCCCTTTAATTTTACCACAGGGTCACCTTCCATCTCTCTTGTAACTAGTTGTTATACACAGTTACAATTCTCTGTATTTTACTTGAAGAAATCTAGTCAACTGTTTGCATATCGAGCAATTTCCATAACAACGCTTACCCAGATGTCTCATCAGTCACTCAAGATTTTGCTCGTTCACACCGATTAGAAAGGTCAGATTCTGTAAACAATTTAAGTATGTGCAAGTCATAAGATCTGAGATACCTCATAAAAATTACAGCTTCAGTGATAAATTGTTTCAGACACCTCAGTTTTTCTCTCTTTTTCAATGGAATACTAATATATAGCACTGTTTAGTACCTTGTGGAATAACTGAATGATTTTAATTTTAATTTAATTTGGACATAAAGACTTACTCTGCCCACAGGGCTCATTGGATGAGCAGCATAATCTGATGTCAGATTATAGTTAGTTGCTTCACATATCATGCTTACTGGTCGCTCCTTCTTTTCTTCAGATGTCATTGCTGCAGCAGTCCTGAAAATAGAATATGTAATAGCACTAGAACATGCTGTGTGCAGACTGCTATTGAAAAGCACCCCTAGATGTAGCCTAATACAGCCTGTGTCCTACTTTTCCAATTTGAAAGCAATTCACACTTCATTGTAAAGTTACCTGCACTGTGTTTTAAACTTAAATCTATTACAAATGAATTTTAAGATGTTTTAAAATAGGAGGTGTTGGTGGGATGGAAAAAGACAGGTATGAGCATGAGATGGAAATGGGAAGAAATGCTCTCCAAAGACCCCATACGGCTTTGTCCCACTTCAGTGAGAACATGCACGTTTGTGAAGTTTCACATATTGCAGTCCTGACGGTTTTCACTCTAGCTGACGTATAACGTGTTGCAGCAATGGTGGCGAGTAGGACATCCAATACCCAGCCACATATAAAATCCTGATGTCAGGTATGACTTGCATGCGTACCTTCTCATATTGTTGTGTATTCTACAAAACTAATGCAAAGATAGCAAAACCAACTTATTATCCAATGATTCAGAAAGCGTCTCAACTGGCCAAGGAAACAACCGATTCAGGAGAAACTATCAGGCAAAACACAACAGATTAAAGGCATGTAATTGTTCTAAGTGATTAAAAAATTTATTCCTTTTTGGAAGTTTATTGGATTATTATATAATATATATGTCATTTGCTAACACTACAGAATAAGTAAAGTGACAAGTGGAAATTCACACAGTGCATAAACACAGTGCATTTTTATCATGTAACTAATTTGGGCTATGGTTTTTACCTTAAAAATTAGTATTAAATATTTAATATTACTTTCAAATAATTTAAACAAGTAAAACTTTATACATGCTAATCTGACTTGGAAAAAATAAATATTGCAATTAGCAATCACTGAATCTTACTTCAATATTAACAAGTTTCAAAACATAGATTTTATAGACTGAAACAGATGCTACTTACTGTTCATTCACAACAAAGATACAGTTGTCCTGTGATGGCTGTCCTGTTACTGGATGTTTGCAGGTTACTTTTCGTTCATTATGACTGTGGAAGAGAGATAAAGAAAATTATTAGGCAATAATTTTTTTATTTTCCAACTCAAGTGTATAAATCCAGTACATCGAGTATATCAGCCCAGTGAAAACTATTATGAATATTTCATTACAGCATATAACAATGTACGTATATATACACACAAATGCATATATATATATAAAAACTAATAAAAAGGATGATAACAAGCATTAAAGAATCTTCATTAATACTCTGGACAGAAATGGAAAACATTGGCACTGGGTTGGTAATGGTTTTGAATTTAAAAGCTAGAGCAGTAAGAGTGTTACTAGTTCATACATGATCACTGACAATTCACTTCAGCCAAGACTTCATATATTCACAAACAGAATCTCAGCTAGACAGGGACAAGTTAAACATAAGACATAAACAACTGTTCTGTAGGGATAAAATAACAATACAGTAAACACAATTGTCTTCTAGCTTAGAACATGAAGTTACTCGTTTAAAATTTTCCAATAATACAGATAAATATCCAGTGATTGGAACAGAGTGATGCGTTGCAATCACAGCTCTACTTTTGCTGATGGCTTTTTAATTTAGAGTGCTACTCCCCTGCAGCATTGTTCTTGGGCATACCTTCAAGTGGCAGGGAGCCTGCCAGCTGAGGGCTTCACCCTCATCAGCACAAACTGCTCACTTTGCAGTGTCTTGTTCCCCTGAACTGCAGGTGTTGCTAGATCACAGCAGCTCCCACAATTTGGAAGAAATTGCCAAAATTCAACAGCTATCAGCTGCTGCCACTCAAGAAGGAAATGTTTTGACTTGAGCCCTCCAGCCTTAGAGGGGAAGAAAGAGAAGGGGAGGAGTTGCCTTTACTGCCTACCAGATGTCTGTGCACTGATGAAATTTAAACCTGGTTCAGCGATTGCAAAGCACACAAGCAGAAATCAGACTAAGGGCAATGGTAGAGAATGCAGATGCGTTATTTGGATATAACCCACATGCTTCAAAACAAACTCACCTCTTCTGCTTTTAACACTTCAAATAATATTTAAAAGCAAAAAAGTATATAATGCAAAAAAAACCCAACCCCAAACAGTATCTGAAATCAGCACTGTAATTCATGAAGAAAGTAATTCCGTTTGATAGCATTTACTTTTGCACAGAATATGTGATGATAATCTTTCCCATGTAAGGTATCTTATATAATACTATGCCTTTCTTATCAAAAGTTCAGCCCTGAAAAATATTCTTGGACAGAGAACAAATCTGGACCAAAAAAAAGTGCTTTATTTGCAAGATAGCAGAAGAGGGGAAGAACAACAAAAGCTTTAAATGGCACTTTATCCAACACCTATTTCTTTTATTGCCTATTCATTTAACCTTCTTAGCTTTCAGAACTATGAAGCACAGCTCATCTCGCAAATGTTATACTCTCTACCCTTCCTGCTTCTTAAAACAACCTAGACTTAACAAGACTATCTTAACATTCCCCAGGTTTCTTGAAAATTCCTTTGGATCACATCATTTTGCAATTATGGAGCATTACTAATTAAAAATTACCTCCAAACAAAAGCTTAATAGAATATTCACACTACTCTCATGGTCAATGGGTAGTTGGATGAATCTGCATAAATCTAAAGCACAAGATTAGAAAGATAGCCCAGTTCTTTGCACTTTCTTTACTGGGATTTTAAAAACCTACTAATACCTAAATGGATAGACGTGTTATGGAGCTTAACTAATGAGCTAGCAAATGCTGGTACTTTTATCTTCACACTAAATTCAGCAGAATTCTAAGTTTAGCATCTAAAGAAGCTTCTGTTACAGAAACGCGTCCATTACAATGAGGAGACAGAAAAGAGTCCACCTGAGTATGTCTATGCCATTCCTAACTGCCATGATCCTACAATGCCTTTCAAGTGAAAATGGCCCAGACTGAAGAGAATTAAAATTCAAAATATTCCTGAGGAAGCATCCAGGTTTTTTTGCGGTTCTTCTTTCTTCACTTCCAAAAACTTACTTTTTGTTCTCTCTGACATTTCAGAAACTCTCACACCAAACCGAAAAAAAAAATAATTATGGAGATGAGCTGGCACTCTACGAAACTCTCACACCAAACCGAAAAAAAAAAAAAATTATGGAGATGAGCTGGCACTCTATAAGCTTTGCCAAAATGTTGCCATCTTGTTCACGCTAAACCTTGGCAGCTGGCTATCAGCTGACATCCAGAAATGTAGAAATAAATGGATCAGGACTTCGGCTCAAGGACCATCAATACTCAGGACCGCTACAGGAGGCAGCACATCCCACGTTTTATATGAGCGCACCCGGATCACACTGGCACAGGAAGAGGCCACACTCGAAGATTGTAAAGGGGAAGTCATGCAAAACCAGGAGGGAAAGCAGGAAGGGGTAGGAAAAGAAGAGACAGAGGAGAGGAAGTGCTGACACAAACCTATTCGAGAATATTTTGTTTCAGGCTTGAGTCATATATCAAGTCAGTATTCCAAAATATCAAAACATTTTTGGACAAAATACAGTTTTCCTTACTACTCACACTGATGTCGAGATGTATAGAGGTGTAGCTGACATTACATAAATAAGGCAAAAAAATATCGTAGACATGAAACACTCTCCTGTGGGATATACAATACTTCCTTTCTAGCATTTGAGAGACCTTTTCTTTTTCTTCAGCTTAGACGCAAGTGAAAATCTCGTGAGTGAACACTGGAAATCCAGTTGTACAACTAAGAAGTGTGACGACTGTAAATACGTCTATCTGGTTGAATAGCTTTTAAATACTTCCATTTGAAAACTTTCTCATTACTCATCTGAATTATTGCATTTTTGGCATTACTTTAGCTGATATTTTGACAAGACTCTTCAAAATACTTGCGTAAGGTGTAGAGCAGCTTGATAATTATTGTCATAACCCTCCCACATATCAGTAGGTTAAGGCATTTGTTTTAAACTTGATCTTGCAGACTACAAAAAGTTTCATTAAAACCAAGCTACAATTTGATATTCACAATCTTCAACATGGGATTTAGACAGTTGTTCAGTTATCCATGAATTTCTGGGTCCACACATGCTTAGTATTTCATATATTACACTATAATATTACATATCTCATCAATAAGTCTCAGCAGAAATAAAGTAAAAAATGTGGGTTTTTTACTGAGAACTCTACTTTCAATTTTATACAAACTCCAGCATGTAATTCAGAGTTTCAACTCTACATATTTATGTGTCTGTACTTTTATTATGTAGTAAAGAGTGATTCACTTTGACACAAGCAGCTAGAAACCAGCGTGTTAACTTTTTGCTTATGCAGAGATACAGCCTCCAAGAGGTATATGGAAACAACACTCCTCTTCCTTCTCTCTCCAATCAATTTTTCATATCAACATGTTTTGAGAACACAGGGTAACTATACACACACACTGCTGCACTTATACTGAAGGATATAACTGACCCTTACTTTTTTAGCATCCATAGTTAGGTTGTATTAGTGGCATGCTAAATGCTAGAGCCAAAGACTGAAAATATTCCCTGTGTATTTTATTAGTATTCATGAGCATATTCTCCAGACTCGGTACGTGGCACAAACTATTCCTCATTAATATTTGCTACTGGGATGTGTTTGGCTCCAGAAATTGACACAGGTGACTAAGATGACATGAGAGAGAAACATTTCAATGCAAAATAAAGCATAGTTCTTGCATGTACCAAGATAATATTGGTCTTGATTCCAGCAGTGGCCTGGGACAATGACCTGCTATAGAAGGATCAAAACCAAACTAAAATAAACCAACAATAAATAAAGAAACCCACACCACAAACCCCTAACCACACCAAAATAGCTCACGCAGGGACAAGTTCCATTTTTAGCTATCTCAGTGCAAGACTACTGATACCAACTTAACAGCACCAACTTACCTTGACCTCTTTTCTCCAGAATTTTTGAACTTCTCCTTCCCAATCCTTTCCTCTGAACACTGCAAACTTTGGCATCATTTAGCAGGTAGCTTAGCTTTGGCACATGGACAAGCCCTCAGAGCAAAAGGCTTTATCTTGTTCAGTTTAGAAGTTGACAGTAACCTTGAATTGGACTCACGTTATTTGCCTTCTTATCTACTCTCTTTCTCCTTTCCATCCCTTGAGACCCTTAATCTCTTTAGAAGACAGGATTATTTTACTTATTTTCTAGACATGCTCCAAAAACCTTGTTGTGCAGTTTTAATCTACTCACTAAATGTATGGTCAACAGCAATCTTTTTGATAGCCAAATGTGATCCAAGGACTACTAAAAAAATCCCACAAATATATCATTGAAATATATTATTCTATGTGTAAATAGCAACAGAATGCATAATTCCAGGAACAGCACTTGCCAACAGAAGTCCTACACAAGCAGGATTGTTTGTTTCTTTTTGTTCTACCTTGTGTTTTACAGGACTGCTGACCCAAAAATGCTGCATACCAGTATTTTGTTCTAACACACACCACCGCAAAATCAGCAAATTCAAAATTCTGTCCAGTTTTGCCATTTTGAAATTGCTATCATCTTTAACAGTAGCAGGATTTTTTGGATAGGGAATAAACACAGATAATAGCAGTTGGAATGGAAAAAAGAGAGATATGTAATCCAGTTGTACAGGAAGATGCACAATTAAAAATGAAGGGTTAGACCACCCTTCCTCTGGAACAGAGCAGTTCACTCAGAAGTGGCAAGAAAGATCAAAGTACTAGGGTGGGGACAGTTTGTTTGGGGTCTCTCAATTGTATGATTTGGTTGAGTTCCCTGTCCTCTCAAAAAAAAGTGAGCTGGGTCAAAAGTCCCAAAGACACATCTGGTTTTCTGCCACTAAAATTAAAACTAGATGCCACTTCAAAGCTTCTCTCATGCCCTTTCTTTGTAGACTTTATTTATGTGTTCCTAAATGCTAAAGCCTTCTCATTTGCTCATTCTCAATGTGACCATCAAAGCAAAGGCTGAGTTCTACTTCACTGAAAG